GATTTGAACCCGGGACCTCTCGCACCCAAAGCGAGAATCATACCCCTAGACCAACGAGCCGACACTGACCTGCGGCATACTTTCAAATAATTTCGACTAATAGGTATTAACTAGTAACAAAAGAATAGCAAATGTCCCGAACCACTTCCCAATTTACCTAAATTGTTTTAAACTATAAAATCTGCACTATTAAGAGATTTTGGAGTACGCTGCTCAATTTTTTTAGGAAGACAAAAGGCGAGGGATGGTGCATCAACCAAACAAAACCATAATCGTTTAAAGAAATTATTGCAGATAGCAAATGATAAATAATTAGTAAAAAACATAGTTACGATTATTAATGATTTTGCACGTGATCAGCGTCGGCTCGTTGGTCTAGGGGTATGATTTTCGCTTAGGGTGCGAGAGGTCCCGGGTTCAAATCCCGGACGAGCCCTGTTTTTTATCCCTACAAATTTAATAATCTATTCAGTCACTGTTGTTAGCCTTGATTTATGTCTACATTCTGTTCAATATTCTCTAATAATGAACATATAATAGAATTTTACCGTCGTCAGTGTCGGCTCGTTGGTCTAGGGGTATGATTCTCGCTTTGGGTGCGAGAGGTCCCGGGTTCAAATCCCGGACGAGCCCACTTTTTATTTTCTTCATTTCAAAGTCCGTCGTAACAATAATTTATTCATTTATTGCAACATCTGAGATGTGGTTGGCCTTCATTTTTAGTTACTAAACTTTACTTTTAATTACATACGCGATATGATGGACATTTTTTAAATGGTCAGCGTCGGCTCGTTGGTCTAGGGGTATGATTCTCGCTTCGGGTGCGAGAGGTCCCGGGTTCAAATCCCGGACGAGCCCTATTTTTTACAAATATATTGGTCCAGTTGCTACTTATTTATATTAAACTGGTTTTGGTGCTTTGAGTGAAACCCACAATTTGGTTTTAGTGTTATCGATAACATGAACCAAAAGAATCGGCCTGATCAAGTGGAATACCGGGATCAGACGAGACCCACCTCAAATAGTCCTCTTGGTACCCTTTTGATGAATACAGTCGAAGTCCAGTGTGAAGTATTGACTAAGATTTTTCATTGGGTCCCATGCGTTGTGCGGGTTTTGTTTTCCCAAATATGAATTTTTTTGATTATGGAAGTAGGTAAATCAGAAAACTGTGGGAAAGTACAAGCGCACGCTTTTTTAAAAATATTTTTCAGTTTTTCAATCCCCAATCGTGAAGTTTTTCATGCCCACAAATCAACCACATTATTTTTTGATTTGGGAAGAACTGGAACTTGAAAAGTCTCTGAGAGGAGCGGCACTCGGGATCCTAGAGAGTGACTAATGAGGATATTTAAAAAAAGTTGGACGAAAACGTGAAGGGAATTTGTGAAGAACGTGATTTAAATAAAAACTTGTGAACAGGGACAGAGCCATTAAAAGGTAAAAAAAAAATTTAACTTAACCTGAGAGTTATGAGGATATTATTAAGAAGGGAATTTGAGGAAAACTAGAAGAACTGAATAGAATTCTAGGAAGACTTGACAAGAACTTGAGAGAAGGGAGCTTGCGGCAGAATTAAAAGAACGAACGCGAAAGTAATTTGAGGATAATTTGAGATGAATTTACTGACAACTTCAAGAATGTTTAAGAAGAACTTCAGATGTACAAGAAGAGAATTGGAAACTTTTTTGTTTTGTTACTGCACGATGCAAATAAATATAAAAGTAATACACTAAATGTAGCGCTGAGGAGGGGACACACAAATGATCTTAGCACGATACCAAAAGCCTTTTTTCAAAATACAAACTATTTCTGTTGGGAGATACATCTGCAAATTTCTTTAGCAGCTGTAACAAATGCAGGGATGGAACTGAAGCCATCGTTTTATTTAAAAAAATCTGTCATTTGTTATTTTCTACCACTCTATTCTTTATATACTTATGTGTTACACCCTGTATAATAGTTTTAAAAATGTAATTTAACAACCTTCTTCGAAACGCTCCAAAGACCTCAAAAGCTGCAAAAGAATCTAAAGGGATCTTGTGTACTCTTCGTGAAAGATTCATGAAGGTCCTTGGAAGCTTTTAGAAACACCTCGTTTTGAACAGTACCAAAGATTTTTAGAGACTCATAAAAGATTTCATGAAATAATGTTAGTGGCTAAGCCCTTGCAGGCTAATAAAAACTGTTTCACTTTCAATACAATCTACAAAGCACTTGGAAGCACTCAAAGAAATTCTTTGAGACCTTTGGCGAAACTTACCAGGTTCATGAAACTTTTTGAAGATTTCAAATGTTCTTGAAGGCAAATCTCGCTAAGACACTAAGCATTTAGAATAGTACTTAAGGACTCAACGGTTTTAAAGGCTCTTCAAGGTCTTTAAAATGAGTTAAGGTTCCTCAAACACTTTTAAAAACCTCTTAACGAACGTAAATGTTTTCAAATGCTATTCGCGGCTCTTAAGGTCAGAAGGTCACAAAAGGAGTTTGTTTAAAATTTGTTGAATTCTGTTGAAAACCAAAAGCTTCTAGAAAGCGCTTGCATGTGATTGGGGGCTCCTGAAAACCAATGATATACGCTCGAGCATCTAGAGGGTCCATGGGACCTCTTTGTAGACTCCTGAGAACCATTAGAAGAGAAGTTCAAGGCTCATAAAGTCTTTCAAGCATTAATAAAGGATTTTAAATGGTCTTCAAGGTTCTTAAGGTCTCAAGAAGACTCCAAAATGCTCGGCATGATTAATATTTATTGAAGACGCTTGAAACCTCTTGGAAGGTAAAAGCCTCCAGAAGGTTCTTGGAGGAAACCAACGTAGGGTCTCGGCATTTAACTTCTTAGCAGCCTCTTATAGAACCCTAAAAACCTTTGGAAGACTTAAAAACTCCAAGATTTTTCTATACCCTTGAAAACTGTTGACGACTTCCAATGGCTCTTAAAGGCCTGTTTTAACGGGTATGAAGGTTTTGGAAAAATCTAGGTAATAAAGGTTTTAAATATTCTTAAAGACTCATAAAGGCACTTAAAAGTTCTTTGTAAAGCATTATAATCCGTCTTGTTTACTAAGGGAGATGTGGGAACTCCCATAGCAGGGAAAGCCCTTAAGGGTTCCTTAAAAATGGTAGTAGTATATTAAGAAACAAGTGTATAAGCAAGTTTTTAAAGCAAGCGCAACGAGGTTTAAGGAACGGCACGGCACGGAGTGCCTTGAGCCTTTAAATCTTGCAAGTGCTTTAAAGACCAATTATACACGCGTTTCTTATAGTATTTTTATTATACCTGCAATTTAAAATAAAGGAAATAATGTCGACTTTATACGCGAATAAATTTCTGATTAAAGTGGGCCGCTTATTCCAAACTTCATGATTGTCATGGAAATGTCACTTTCGGTGGCTTGTTGCAGAAGCATAAGAAGAGTTGCTGCCTACAATATACATTAAAGTCCTGATTAAAGCTTTTTACAAAGAAATTTTTTATTTACTAATAAAGTTTTAAATGCATCTGCTGACCTCTAGTGCGTTCATTCAAAACTTCAAACAATGCTTCGATTAAAAATAGAACAGATTTGGCCGCATAGCTTGAATTACGCGCTTTTGTGAAGGCGCCAAATATAGGATGGGCACACGCTAATGAAATCTTCTACATTGACAGAAAGTGACCTATGAGGATTTTTTATTTCTACCCCAGATGACAGTTTCATACGTCAAATTTGGAGTTATTATACAGATATAATACAAAAGACTCATAAAAGCTTTCTAGTATCAATACTAAATTTTAAATCCTATTAAAGACTGTAATGTTTCCAGAACACTCTAACTGTTTCTCTTGTTTGTTGAAGATTCTTAAAACTTTACGAAAAAGATGAACCTCTAAAAGGGACTTGGAGACAGTTTGGGGCTTTTGAAGTCAACAATTAACCATTCTGAAGCCTAAAAGGCTATACAAGTCCCTTGGGAGACAGTTGGGGACTCTTGAGCCAATATTGGACACTTAAACCTTTAGAAAACCGCTTTAAGTCTTTTTGTAGACCCCTTCTTTAGAGACATGAAGACTATTGGCAACTCAAAGATTTTGGAGGCTTCAAAACCATTTACAAGTTTTGTATACTCTTAGACCTTAGTCGACGACCCTTGAGTGTACTTAGAGCCCTTTAAAACTCGTAATTCGTTTTAAGGGTCTTCAAAATGCCTATTGAATACTCTTAAGGGTTATTAAAGTCTTAAAGGGTGTTGGAAGGCCTGTTAGAAGCATTAACGACTTTAGAGACACCAAAAATTTTCTCAAGAGACTCGCTTGTCTAAAGTTGAAGGCTTTCGAAACCATTTGAAAACCAAAAGCCTCTAGAAAGGTCATGGGGACGGTTGGGGGCTCTTGAAAACATTCAAGAAGGGTTTCACAGGTTCTTCAAAATGTGGAGAATTATCTTAAAGCTTATCTTAAAGACCCTAAAAATCCTCTTAAATACCGGTTAGGCGCTTTAACGGCTGTGGAGATCCTGGAAAGCTCTTGGAGGCAAAACTTTAGTAACTGAAAAAGTCACTTAATGAGTCTGAAAGGTTTGTTAAAGATGAACTATTAAAGTGTTGTTCTTCAAAACGATTTGGTACTATATTGCCTCAAGAATGCTCCAAGAGGCTACGTTCCCTCAGGTAGTTTAGTTTATGGCAAATCCTTCTCAAATTCCCTTTGTGTTTCTTTTTCTCTGAAAGCCGCTCTCAAGGTCATTCCAATAATTCTCGAGAATCACGTTTCTCAATTTCTTCTCAAATTTCTCTCAAGTCCATACCATGTTATTCTCCATTTCCTTTCAGATTCTCTAATTGGCGCTATTTTCCGAAAATGCGTTGCTCCTCTGAATTTGCCCTTAAGTTTTTATCAAATTCCTCTGGGAGGGTCCTTCATTCTTTAGTATGGTTTTTGTTTTTAAGTAAGATAGTTGAAGAAAAAAAAATTGAGGTAACAAGGTGATTCAAGGTAATTTTATTGAAGAAAATACACAAATTCATTTCTTCTTCTTCTTCTGTTTGTCTATAAAGATTTAGGTGTTATAACTGTGCCCTTTATCAAGCTAACGTACCTTTTTTCTTGCTCTTCAGTAGTCGAAAGCGGTACGCCCGATAGTATCGTTGAATAACTCTGGCTGCGCGATTACGCGAAAAGAAATTAACTGCCAGCCTCTGCTGCTCATCTTCTTCCTCCTTTTCCTCCATGAACGACGCGGACATTTCCTCCAGCTCGTTCATCTTAACTACAAGCGCGTCAAAAGCATCTTGCTCCTCCTCAAAGCTAAACTTCAAATTTGGAAACCGCGAGTGCTCTGTAGCAATCATACCCAGACATTTGGACGTCAAATTCGGCCTGTCTGTCCTGCATGTCGAAGTCGTACTTCGACAACCACCCCGAGAGTTGCGTTTCGGTCTTCAAACGTTTGACCCTTAACTTTCGTTCGCTTTTAAGATGCTGGGAGAGGAGATTGTCGTACTGGTTCGCCACGGTTTTAGACTCGGTGGCGAGCTCCTGCTGGCGCAGCTTGCTAGTCTCGCGATCTTCCGCCAAACCAGCCTCATTCTTCTCCCTTAGAAGGACGAATTGGTGCAGTACACGTTGGAGATTTGCAGTACTTACGCTATTAACTTCGTCTCTTCCTTTAAAGCGGTGTTTCGTCGTGAAATTTCTTTCTGCAACCCCAAGAGGGTTGCGTTTTTACTGTTGATTTGCAGATTAAATTCCCGTCTTTGCTTCTCTCCTTCGCTTGTCAGTGCTGAGCAAAGTGAGTAGTTACCATTCAATCTGAAGCGAACTTACCTAGTAAGTGCCCCTTCATTTCGATATTTTCCTTGTAAGCGCTCTTCAAAAATTTCTCGCGCATGATTTGCTCCACTGCATTCACTTTGCATCGCTCATCCATGATATCGCGCATGAGTTTCAGGGAGGAGACGAAACGCGCGGATTCACCACTGATCAAGAGGTCATTTTCCAAGGAAGCTTTCTTGAGTTGGTAGTTTTTGTAGAGTATTTCCACCACTTGAGTCATTTGGGGATTAACGAACCTCCTAAGCGAATCCAGCGCAGAGGGTTTCGTCTAAACTGGATTGTAATGGAACCAAACAGTAGGGGGGCTCACCTTTCTTCGCACGGAACTTGCAGTGCACTTGCCGGTACTGATCGACGGTTGTCGATAACAGTATTTCGCACAGATCTCTTGAATATAGCCAACGTCTACATCCAGTAATTTCGAAGACTGGGCCAGAAAGTCGGGCAGGCATACCTGTCAAGTAAATAGTAGCGTGCATGAAACGTGCAGGAATTTGGCTTACGCAAATCTTCACTTTCTCAATGACCAAGTCAAGTACTCGTATGACTCGATCGTATTGCAGTTGTAGTTCAGCTTGATCCGACGGCACCTGGAAGATAGTGAACTCTCCCTCGGTCGACATTTCTGAAAGTCAAAGTGACATTTCCAGTTTCAGATACAATGGGCAAGAAAAAGGCGGGGTTGGCAAATCGACTCGCTCGCATGTCGGACGATGAGCGAGCGAAATACTTGCAACGGAAAGCCGACGCCGAAGAAGAGGCGAGGCGGCGAAAGGAGCAGTTGGTGGAAAACTTCATGAAGGTAAGTGACTCGATCGGGCAACCTTCGTTAATGGTCTTGTTTTAGAATAAGCTCAAGAGGGAGGATGGGTTTTCGAGGTTAAACGTCGCCAAAATTAACCAATACTGGCACCAGGTCATGCGCGCGGAAAAATGCGAACACATGAAGAAGGACGTTGAGCATTTGAGAAGGTGGATGCACCGGACTGTTATTATCAAGAACGGGGTGATTAACAAGTTGATGGAAGAACTCGATTGGCAAGAAGAGTTGTACGGGAAAAACTTTGAGGCGCATACAAAGAATATTAATAATCTCATAGGTACTTGGTCGCTCTTTATTACCCATACACATGAGTGCTTTTCCAGATTTTCATAACAAGAACTTGAAGCTGCTGTTGCTTCAGTACACCAACGATCGTCAGTTACTGTTATATATTGGCTCAAACGAACGACGAGAGATGGAGGAAAAATACATTAATGAAATAGAGCATCTGAAGACGATTATTTATGGGCAAGAGGTCTTGGCAAGGAACGCAGAGGAGGAAGCGAAGAATAATCACATGAAGTTCGCAGACGAAGAACAAAGTCAGGTGAATGTGTATTTTTAACGCATTTTCCAACTCATGTTGGAATGTGCTATTATAGCCACTTTGTCCGTCCGTCCGCCCGTCCCAGGCCTTAACTACTCTCACCGTTAATTGGTTCCCAGCGATTTAATTAAATGCGCGTAATGAAATGTTAACTTCGGGTCCCTATTGGTACGAAAATGAAACGGTTCTGGGGTTGAACGTCAAAGAAAAAGATAAAAACGTGAAGGGTTATGCTCTTTTTTGGGAAAACACAGCACTGGTAGATGGTGGTGTCTAGGCGACCTAGAAAAAGGAGAAATAGATGGTTTTTCCTCAAAAATTGTTATGAAAGTGCGGAGCGTTGGAAACGTTTTTCAAGAGAAAGTAGTACACCCTCGAGTACACCCCTACGAAAAGAATAAATTGAATACCTACTGTATTTGAGATAAAGTAGTATCTGTGATGAGTATGGAGTATGGAGAGTACGCCAGGGAAAAGGTAATCGTAGGATTCTCCTGAAAAATTATATTTTGAGTGCGGAGGGTTGCAAACGATTTTCGAGACAACTTAGCAGGAAGTATAGAATCCTAGGAAAAGTCGAAGCTGAGGGCTGTTCCTGAAAAACGAGCACAAATTTAGATAATATGAAAAATCCCTCAGGAAAAGAAGAAACCGATCACCCTTCCTCAAAAATGGTAACAGCTCTGTAAACGTTTTTTCGGAAGAACGTAGAATGATGACCCTTCCTTCAAAATGCTCACAACAGCGCGGAGGGTTGTAAATTTTTTTGGGAAAACGTTAGCACTCAGTAATGTTTGGTGCTATAGAAAATACCCCAGCAAAAAAATACTTGATGGCCTTCCCTGAAAAATGGTTCGTCAGAGCACTCTTTTCGAAAGAGCATACCATTAGGCTGTCAGAGAGGTATGTAATACCTCGTATAACAAAAGGAAGAAATTAAGCGCTCTTTCTTGAAAATAATCATAAGAGGCCAGAGGAAGGACTGGGGGGTGGACACGTTGCACCGCTGAGATCCGGGAGTACCGAAATCACCCCAAGAAAAGGAGAAATTGAGAGTTTTTTGGGGAAAATCTCCATAAGTGCGCGAAAGTAAACGTTCTTCGAGAGCAGGTTGGTTGCACCGGAGGGTTTAAAGCGAACCCCTGGGAAAAGAAGAAGTTGATGACTCTTTCTGGAATTGCGGAATGTTTTTTGGGAGAACATCACACCGAGGAGCCTGGGTACTATAGAAAAAGACGGAATTTCTGGCTTTTCCTGCAAAGTGGGGGGGGGGGGGCAATCACAATGCCAAGGAGGGTTGCTTTTGGAGGTTTTGGTATGACGTAGCACCGCCGTTGTCTTCGGAGCATGGAAATACTCCAAGAAAAAAAGGAATCATCCGCTCTTCCTGAGAAATGGTTAGGATAACGCTGTGGATCGAGAGAATGTAGCAGGGAGAGGGGGCGGCGGTCTGGAAGTATAGACTTTCCTCTAGGAAAAGACGAAACTGATCTCTTCCCGAAAAGGGATCACAGGGGTACGGAGGGTTGTAAACTTTACTTGTGACAACATAACTGTCAGCCGTTTTCGGAAGAGCGTACCACTAGGAGCTCACAGCAAAAAAGAAGAAATGAAGGATTCTTCCTATTTGGGAGAACTTAGTACTGGGTATTCTGGTGAGAAAATAGTACTAAGGGTCTGGTCTAAAACAAATAATTTGTGGTTTGTTCTGAAAAATAATAAAAGCGCGGAGGGTTGCAACTGTTTCCCAGGAGAACGTGGCACTAATGGTGTCTGAGGGTTGCGGAATACGGCCAAGACGAAGAGGAGAGTGATAGGTATTCCTGAAAAATGTTCATGAGACCACGCAGGTAATAAAAGCGTTTTAGGAAAGTTACCACCGAGGAAGGCTCAAAAAGCTCTAAAAGTTTTGGGTTGAGATAGTAGCACTGGAGGCCCTTCGGAGAATGGAATTGTTCCTAGGAAATGAAGAAATTGATTAATCTTCCTGAAACATGATCATAAAAGCGCGATTTTTGGAAAACGTAGAAGTGGGGGGGGGGGGGGCGGAGGGTATGGGATACCTTCGGGACGAAAAAACTCGATGGATCATCCTGAAAAGTAAAAGTTTTTCGGGAGAAATGAGCGCTGGGTGGTGAAGAGGGTTTGAGGGGTATGGAATGCCTCCCTATTGAAAAGGAAGAAGTTGATGAGTGAACGTAGCACCGCTGAAACCTATGGGTTACAGAATACCCTCCAGGAAAAGGGGAGATAGATAGCTCGCGAAAATGATCATACGTGCACGGAGCATTGCAAACGTAGTTTGGAAGAACGTATAGTACCAGGGAGGTGAGAGATGTCCCCCAGGAAAAGTAGAAAGAGAAATAAGGCTATGAAATACCCCAGGAAGAGAATGAATTTATGATTTTTCTCAACAAATTGCCAACACTCCGCCCACTATAAAATAAAGCCAATAAAAAAAACAATTGACCACAAACTCTATAGGTAGAGACGTAAGGAAAATCAAACCCCTACCCCTTAAACCCCTTATGCAACAAAGAATGTATACCTCTTTAGATAAATGAGAAAATGAGAAGCCGATGGGTGAACGTAGCACCTGATATATCTGGAGTGGTATAGAAAACTCTCCAGAGAATGAGAGGTTGATGATTCTTCAGGAGTAATGATCATAAGTGCGCGGACGATTGTTAACGCTTTTCCAGAGAGCGTACCACCGGGGGGCCTGGGGACTATAGAATATCCCACATAACGAGGCGAAGTTTATGGCTTTTCCTGCAAAGCGATTATAAAGGTGCTGCAGGTTGTAAACTTTTTTGGGAGAACGTAGTACCGTGGGTCTGGAAGTTATGAAATACCACCCAGGAAAAGAAGAAGTTTATGGTTCTTCTCGAAAAATGATCATAAATACGTATAGACGTATCTTACCCCCAATCCCTAACAAAAACGGAGAATGTATACTTCTTTCTGAAAAATGACGTTTTTCCAGAAAAATGGCCATAAGGGCACGTAGGTGATAAAAGCGTTTTGCGAAAGTTACCACCGAGGAGTCTGGGAGGTATAGAATACCCCTCAGGAAAACAAAGCACGGAATAATGCCCCTACCTGAAAGATGGTCATGGAAGCGCGGACGGCTCTAAACGTGTTGGGATAGAAGTGTAGCACCAGAGGCTCTGCGAAGAGTGGAATACTTTCCAGGAGAGGAAGAAATTGATCGCTCTTCCTGAAAGATGATGATTGGGAGAACGTAGGACTGCGGGTCTGAAGTGTATGGGATACGTAGAATAAACGTAGCACTGGAGGATTTGACCCCCCCCCCCCCTCCCCCAGGAAAGTAGAAGATGATGACTTTCTGAAATCATAAAATCACGGGAGGCTTTAAACGGCTTTTTATTATCACCCTGGTACCGGTAGTATACCAGTATACCTGGAGTGAGAGGGATAAAGTTATGACAGAAATCAGAAAATTTATGGTTCTCTTCGAAAATTCATCATAAGATCTCTAGGTAGAGACGTATCGACAATTCTACTTAATCCTTCAAAAAAACAAAGGATTTATACCTTTCTCAAAAATTACGAAAGGGGGTCGGAGGGTGCTAAACGTTTTTAGCGCATTTTTGCAAAAAATTTTTTTTGTAAAAAGAAAAAGAGGAAACAGCTATTCCTAATCAGCTATTCAGAGCGCGCAGGTTATGGGGGGGGGGGCTTTTGAGATTCACCGGCAAAATACCCCCCATCATAGTAGGAATGCATAGCACTTCCGCAAAGATATAGAAAACCGCCCCAGAGAAGTAGATGGTTCTTCATGGAAAATGACCAGGAGTGCGCTTTTCGAGAGAACGTAATCTTGGAGGATTAGAGCCCCGCCCCCGGGGAGCCTGTGGACGCCAGCGTATCTCCTACAAAGAGACGAATTTTTTGACTTTTGCCCCAGGAGAAGAAAAAATTGATGCTTCTTGAAAGATGATGATGAAATCGCGATGGGTTTTAAACGTTGCTCAAGAGAACGTAGCACCAATGATTGGGGGGGGGGGGGGTATGAAAAACAACGCCCCAGAAAAAAGAGGAAACTAATAACTATTCCTGAAAAATATTCATGAGAGCGCGCATGTGATACAAATCACCGGGGGTTTTGGCGGGTATTCCACACTCTCCAGGAAAAAAGTAGGACTGAATGGCTCTTCCTTAAAGGTCTTGGGATGAAGTGTAGCACTAGAGCCTCTTCGCACAATGGAATTCTTCCCAGGAAAGAAAAAAATTATGACTCCTTAAAAAATGCGCGTTTTTAATAGAAAACTGAGAGTCTGAAGTGTATAGATTAACTCTGGGACGAAAAAACTTGAGGGATCACCTTGAAAAATGACCATAATGCGCGAAGGATAGTAAACGCTTTTTGAGAGAAGGTAGCACTGGGGTATTTTCGGGTACTCCTAAGAAATGAACAAGTTGATGACTCTCTGGAACCATGGCTATTGCTGCAAAATCATAAACGCGCTGAAAGTGTACACTTTTTTTTGGAAGAACGTAGTACCAGTCTGGAAGGTATGGAATACTCCCCAGAAAAGGAAAAAGAGAAAAACCTGGGGTGGGAGAGATAAGGTTATAAAATGTATGGTTCTCCTCGAAGAATTTTCATAAAATATTTAGATAGAGACGTATGGACAATCCTACCACCACCCTCAAAAAACAAACTTTCTGAAAAATGAAAGCTCAAAGGATTGTAAACGTTTTTAAGGAAAACGTAGCAGCAATAGTGTCTGGGGGGTATGAAAAAACGCCCTAGAAAAAGAGGAAACCGATAGCTATTCCTGAAAAATGGTTATCATAGTGCACGTTTGGGGGAAACTTATCACTTGGGAGTCTGGTAGTTATACTCTTCGGAGAATGAAATATTTCCCAGGAAAGGAAACAAATGATGGCTCTTCAGGAGCGCGCAAAATCGTAAACCTCTGGTCTGAGGTTTGAAAAAACTACCAAGAAAAAACAACATCGATACTCCTGAAAAATTAAAACTATGGCGCGTGGTAGGCGGCGTAGAGGTATTGAAAACTTCCTAGGAAAGGAAGAAGGGAAAAAAGAAGGAAAATTTATTCTAGGCAACAGTATTTGTGTTCTAGAGATCTAATTTGGTCAGGGATTTTAATGGTGTGGGCACTGCGAGTCCCATAATTTTGGCAATACAGACCGAACAGTGTCACGCTGTAAGCTACCAGTTTTAGCTCTTGTATCAAAAATTTGAGAGTAGGTAATACCTTTATTTTATAATCCATAACATAATAATAATGGTTTAAATCGCATAAGGTGTGCCGACAAACCACAGACACAGAGGTGAATGCATCTTTTAATTCAAGAAGTGCATAAGAACTAATAGTAACAAATAGGTATTCAATTGCTGTTAGGGAGGTTGGTAATTTCCCAGTCGGCACAGTTAGCGCTTCCTTTCTCCGCCAAGCAGTTTGTTAACCGATTCGAAAATTCGCACGTGTCCATCTTTTCAGCTGTAAATGGTTAACTTCACCACCTTTTTTAGAACAAAAGACTCACCTTTATCCATGAGATCAAAGCACTCGTTTGCTGAATCTTGAAGAAAATCTCTGATCTCCCTGCCGTTAGCGAACTTCAGCAAGGTTTGACTGACGCGACCACGATCGGGGTATCCTTCCGAATTGACCTGAAAGCTCATCTGTGAGTGATCACCAAGTCAAAATGGAAGATGCTTACCATGTCCAATGCTTCAAAAATGCATTGCAAAGCACAGTCGATTTTTGTTTCATTACGCGCTTGCTTTTCTTCACTTGCGCCTCTTTCCTTGCGCGTCGACGGCACTAGGCGTTTCGAGATTATCCGCAAAAATTATTTTGGGATGAACTTACCCGAATCCTCCTCCGACTCTTCCGAAGTGCGTTGTTTCGGAATACACTTCTTCATGGCAGTTTGAAATCCTTCCTCTTCTGCGTGATTCTGTAGCTCACACTCCAACGCCTTAAAATACTCGACTTTAATTACAATCTAATTAAGCTTTCGCCTCATACTTGAAAGACTTGTAGTTGGAACACGATGACGAACACCAAAATGAAGGTGACCCGCATCATTGCAAATACAACACTTGTGCTTCGCCTAATTTGTCTTTTATAGATTTGAAACCAATCATCTGCGCAATCGGATGTGAGGCCAATTAGCGTGACCCTCGCATGTCATCCATCCCTTTACAATAAAACGAAATTGCTTTTCATTATCTTAATTGAAAATTGAAAACTTCCTGTATGCAATTTTAGAATCGAATGGAGCTGCGAGAATTGCAAAAGGAGCGCGAAAAGGTCATCTGCCGGCACTGGAACGAATTGTACGACGTAATTAAAAATTACATCGAGCAAACCGATCTGAAACGCTTGCACATGGTCGAGCTCCAGAGAAATGATACTCGTGGTTTGGTGGAGGTTAGTCGGAATGAGGCTGAGATTCAAAGACGAGAGGTAACGCTTGGGCATGAGTAGAGTTATTGATTCGTTCTTTCAGCTCGAGCTGAGAAAGCTCCACCACGAGGAGAGCATGCTGGCATCATCCCAAGCAGGCCAACTCAAACACCTCCAGAAAGTCATCGAGGTAATCACCCAGAGTTTCTTCCGGCTGCGAAAAGGTCTCCAACGCGACATATCCCATGACGAAAGACAACTCGCAATTTTAACTACAACGTCAAACAACGTCATCGACGCCCTCTCCAAGATCGTGACCAAAGGCCACCAGCTGATGCATCTGGTAAAATCGTGCCAAAAACTTGACCCTCCAGAACGCGGAAATCAGTGGGAGCGTTTCGAGGAGGAACCCCAAGACGAGAGCAACAGCAGCTCGAGCGGCTCCGCCGGCTCGCCGGTCCGACCCAAAACCTCTCCGCCCAAACGGCCCCAATTACCGCCGCTGAGACAGTTGCGCAGCGAGGACGTTTTCGTTGTGGTCAAACCCGTGGGAAAGGACACCCGAAAGACAGCGAAACGCATGGATTTGGTGGCCGAAGCGCAGCTGATAGCGCGTCGTGGTGCGCACGTAGAGGGCGAGAACCGATTTCGAGATTTGAACCAGATGGAAGGGTTATGGTGGATTTACAACAAGGTCGAGCTTGGCTGTGCCGACTTGAGAAGCGAGAGGAACACGTTGGTACAGGAGAACAACAAACTGAAGGAACGGATAAGGGATGTATTGGAAGCCGCTGCTTTGGGTCAGAGCATTCCTAACGTAAAGTCTGCGAGTACGGTTCTTTCCAGGAAGCGGTATGCCTTTTCGGCACCAACACCTTCTAGGGTGTGCTAAGTGTTTATCTATGTTCACGTATTGATTGGATATGTCGTGCGGTCGTTGATTCCTTAAAATAGAATAAGAAGCTAGCTGTTGTGTTCTAATTTTTCTATTTTCACAACTCCACAACCACGCGTCCATAGATTTTTGGACTTTTTGGATTCCCTCTGTTTGTTGTGAGCGACAGAACCTTGCTCCCATGTTGGGGGAATTCATGGTTCTTATGTTAGGGATACCCCCGCCTGCTTTACAGCAAGTTGAAACTACTCTCCATAATTTCAAACAGTTCCAAGATTGGGCTACTAGATCAAAAGTTACAGCCCTTTGAATTTTCTTTCGAAATTGGTTTCTAGTCCATAACTTTTGATTGAGGAGTCTAATCGAAGAAGTACGAATTGTTTTGGATTCTACGCACCAAAATTAATAAGAAAAAGTGTTCTCCCGAGAAATTTTGGTGTAGTCGATTTTTGGTAAAAAAGGAAGGTTATACACTGCCTTTTTTTGAGCCCCGAAAAAAAAATTGTCTCAGATCGACACGGAAAAAAAATTTTCTTATAGAATGTGGCCTGTAGAATCCATAATTTCAAACAGTTCCAAGATTGGGCTACTAGTTCAAAAGTTACAGCCCTTTGAATTTTCTTTCGAATTGGTTTCTAGTCTATAACTTTTGATTGAGAAGTCTGATCGAAAAAGTACGAATTGTTTTGGATTCTACGCACCAAAATTAATAAGAAAAAGTGTTTTCCCGGGAAATTTTGGTGCAGTCGATTTTTGGTAAAAAAGGAAGGTAATACACTGCCTTTTTTTTGAGCCCCGAACAAAAAATTGTCTCAGATCGACCCGGAAAAAAAATTTTTTATAGAATGTGGCCTGTAGAATCCATAATTTCAAACAGTTCCAAGATTGGGCTACTAGTTCAAAAGTTACAGCCCTTTGAATTTTCTTTCGAAATTGGTTTCTAGTCTATAACTTTTGATTGAGGAGTCTAATCGAAAAGGTACGAATTGTTTTGGATTCTACGCACCAAAATTAATAAGAAAAAGTGTTTTCCCGAGAAATTTTGGTGCAGTCAATTTTTGGTAAAAAAGGAAGGTTATACACTGCCTTTTTTTGAGCCCCGAAAAAAAAATTGTCTCAGATCGACCCGGAAAAAATTTTCTTATAGAATGTGGCCTGTAGAATCCATAATTTCAAACAGTTCCAAGATTGGGCTACTAGATCAAAAATTAAACCCCTTTGAATTTTCTTTCGAAATTGGTTTCTAGTCCATAACTTTTCATAACTATTCAAATACCTTGCGAAGTATTCGAATACTTTACGAAGTATCCAAATACTTTGCGAAGTATTCGAATACTAAATATTTGTGAAAGTATTTGAGTTACAAATACAAATACTGCTTCCATAAAAGTATTTAATTACAAAGTATTTGAATACTTTAAAGGATTTGAATACTAAAAAGTATTTACAAAATCAAATACTGCCCAGCTCTGCTGAGTGTGACGCAATCAGAAACGATCCTGGGGTTTTTGAAAGAGTTCGTGAGTCGATGAGGAGAATTTTTGCCGCGTGTTTAATAAACACCCTGTATAAAAATTAAATTTTTATATTAAAATACAATTTTGGGGTAAAATCAGTAAAATCATTTTCTGGATTTTTATGGAAATAGCTATTTCCGGAGGCCTTTACCATTTTAGGCCGATAGACCTGACTCGCACCCGCAATAACCGAAAGATTCAGCAGCCTCCTAATAAAGGTTGTTTGAATCGCTCGGAAGAATCCGTTTAAGGGACGTATGTACTTAAAATAAGACAACGTGAGAGCGTCCATGAGTTCTCATACTTCCGGAATGTACCTTCCTGTTTGCCGTTCTAAATAATTAATTGAAATCAATACAAGCCCGAGGAAAACTAGTCGCCGGTCAATATACAGGGCGATTCAAATTCGAGGGCCACCATGGGGATTTCGGGAACTGTAAGAGATACGTAGGTAGTTTAAATTTGGCAAAGTTGATGCTTAACGAAATTTCGGATATCTCCGAAAGTAGGCGGAATTTTTTAAGTTTCAAAACTGCATTTTGTTAAGCATCAAAATACGCAACTTTGCCATATTTAAACTACCTATCTATCTCTTACAATTCCCAAGATCCCCATGGTGACCCTCGAATTTGAATCACCCTGTATATGACGTAGTACCAGGAGAATAGAATACGTGAAAGGATAATTTACTAATATGCCGCACAAGTTCGTATTTCATAATTAAGTAATAATTAAACAGTCTTGACACTATTCCGGCTTTTGACCTCTGGCCATCCGGATAGAGTTACCCGTAGGCATAGGTTCGTGGCGCACCCGCAACTTTGGGAGCGCCAACACCTTCAGGCTTCCTTTCAGGATGCCCTGAGCCTGACTCCTGTGAGCTACCCTCCCACCTGAGGTGCTTGGTGCCTAACGTTGAGATGGCCCGATTCTGCCTTACAGTTTATCGCAACCTTGGAATTTGTTGGAAACTCTTGAAAACCTTTTGAGACTTTTAAAAACTTAGAGGTTTTAAAAATTAAAAATATTTAGATGCTCCTTGGAGGCGTTTGGAAGCACTTAGAAACCGTTAGCGACTTATACACTTAGAGGCCCTTAAAGTTCATAAAGAGTTTTTATGTGCTTCGAATTCTAAATAACTAAATAACTTTAAAGACCATTAAAGAAACTTAAAAATCACTAAAGTGCTGTGAAGGTAATGTGAAAACTCAAGACTACTGAATATTCTAGGGTCAAAACTAACTCTTGAAAGTCATGAAGATACATAATATGATTAAATGGTCATTAAAAACCCTTATAACCCTACTTAAGGCTGAAACCGTAAATCAGGGCAATGAAAACTCTTGAGCAGAAATCGTCTGGTATCTCCCGAAAGCTAAAAAAAAATACTTTAAACGTCCAATAAGGTCTCTTAAAGGGGCGCAACTTCAAAAATCTTAAACGCCCTTAAGGACTTCGACATTTTTTTGGTACTCTAAAGGTTCTTAAAAACTGCAAAGTCTGAAGAAGACCCCAAAAGGTTAATCTATGAAACTCGAAAGCTCTGTGAGGTTTCTTGAAAGGGTTTCAAAACTTTTCAGAAGCTTTAAAGACTAAACAATCATTAAAGCCCCTTGAAACCCTGTTTGAAATTTTAAACATCCGTAAAAAAAATTCACCCGGGAACACTTTCTGATTAATAAGCCTCATAACATGCAGATGTTATTAAGCAAGGCAGTAAGTCCTCCTAAATAAGAATTATCGCAGTGAAATCATTTTTTTTAGACAAATATTATTCTTGGTGGTAGGGTAATCATTTTCATGATTGTAGGTAAATGGGATCATTGGTTTTCAATGGGCTTTTGTTCTTTAATGACGAAGCGCCTCGAATTCTGCGTGTTGGGTCAAATTACATCCTTTTTAACAACTATATAAAGTTACATTTCTTAGTAAGTTTGATATAAACTCATAGAGATGGTATTGTTTAACAACCTTAAAACTACCTGTGATTGGTAGTAAGGAAGATACTAACCAATGAGAATTTAGACATCGCCATTTTGACTATAATTCGCCATTTGTGGGTGAGGTTTACTCAGTAATTAAAAACGGGGACCATTCGGAATTAAAAAAGCAGAGTCTCTCAACAAGCAGAGAGAAATCGAAAGATTTCAATTAAAGGGAATTTAGATTTCCGTGTAAAAAATTGGATATTGTGTTTCTTGAGCGATAGTTTCGAATCATAAAGGCAGTTCGGAAAATGTAAAGTTATTGTGTAAAAATTTACGGCCAGTTCTTCGACGGAGCAGTGTTTAGTAAAGTCCAGATATTTTTATATGCGGAAACGATTTCTTCGTCTCTTTATTAATTTTACAATCCACGTCAAGCTAAAGCAATTACAATCCGTATATAAAATGAAATTAAATGCTGTCCAAACAACTTAAAGTCACTTAACATATTCTGAAAGTAAGGTGTTAAGAGAGGTTTTCGCTACTTAAAAAGTTGTTTGTTTAATGTCGGTTGGCTTTACAAAGTACCAGCCACTTACCAGTTTCAATGATTCTAGGGCTTCGACACTTGGGATCTGTAGGCAAACAGAAAGGTCGACATTGGTTTAATGAAGAGTACTTAAACGACGAGAGGCAAATGTTATTGTAATTTATGCACCGACCGTGGACATATTCGAAACGATTTCGAAACGGATGTCTCAAGCCAAATTTGGAACGTGCACTGAATAATATATTAGACAGACCTTCAAGACAGTAATTATTATGTCTCTGCTCTTCTGCTATTTTTTGTATTTATCAAACGGTAAAAGATTAGAAAATTAAAACACAATATTCCTACAGTTAAATTGTTGTCTTTAATTCAGATTCTAAAAACTAAATGGGCACGGTGGGGGGGGGGGGGGGGGGAGGTTCGAAAGTGGTTTTATCTTTCAGGGTACTGTAATGAAAGGTCTCAACTTCTGCCACCCACAGTGCTCCCCATATCGTAATCTGTGATAATTCCTTATATCACAAAGCGGAGTGTCGGAAGGGGTACTCAAAAAGGGCGTTTGGCAGAAATATATCTATAGGTGATGTCAGAACTTTTAAGACCGAATATCTCGAAAACAATATCGGAGGAGAGCAAAATGAATCGTCTGGACGAGACGCATCTCTTTGTGAGATCGAAACGAATATCTCGAAAAGGAAGTGTCGGTAGAGCGTACTTATCAAGGGTACCTAAGTGGAAACTGGAACTGGTGATGTCAAAACTTTCAGTGAGAATATCTGCAGAACGGAGTGTCGGAGGAAGGTACTCTCAAAAGGCGATTGGAACGTCTAGACGAGAGATATCCACTGCCGATCTAAAAACTTGAATGTGAATATCTCGAAAATGGAGTGTAGGCTTGATTCTTCATCCATTATATATCGTGGATATTAAATGTGCACCAGGTGGCCTTTAAATGTTTATATGTAAAGGGGTCCTCCCCATTATCATCTACCAAGAAGAAATTCGCTACAGTTACTCGAGATAGTCATGTTCTATTTCGTT